AAATAGCAATGTTGGTTCCTTCCTTTTAATACTTTTGTTATTAGGAGATGACAGAAGACATAAGAGTAAGTCTGAGAAATTATGAGAACCGGTAAAAAAAAAAAATGTAGTTGATGTACCAGGCATCAAAGGAACACATAAAAATAATTTGCCTTCCTATAGGCTATCAATAAATCATCCAGAATGTAATGGGAATTATCCTATTCAAAATATCTGCAAAAATGTAAGATACTTTAAAGTAAACTTATTAACAATTATGCAGGTCCTATATGAAAACAATTGTAAAACTCACTGAATAATTTAAGAGAGAACCTTATAACAACTTTTATTTTCCTTAGTCTTAAAAAGAGCCAAGCAGTGCCTGGGTGAGTGGAGCATGCGACTCTTGATCTTGGGGTTATGAGTTCAAACTCCACATTGGATGTAGAGATTATTTAAAAATAAAATCTTTAAAAATCAATCAATCAATAAGCCAAATCAAACAATATTGTCCAGGCATACAGGTATATGAGAAAACTCCTCATTAAAAAAGAAAAAACCTGGGCGCCTGGATGGCTCAGTCGTTAAGCGTCTGCCTTCAGCTCAGGTCGTGATCCCAGGGTCCTGGGATCAAGCCCCGCATCGGGCTCGCTGCTCCGCGGGAGGCCTGATTCTCCCTCTCCCACTCCCCCTGCTTGTGTTCCCTCTCTCGCTGTGTCTCTCTCTGTCAAATAAATAAATTAAATCTTTAAAAAAAAAAAAAAAAAAACCCTGATCATGGCAAAATTCAGGTTCCCCCAAGAAGGAGGCAGGGAGATGGAATGCAGAAGGGGTGACAAGGAAGAAAATACCTCAATAAACACATAAAGTAAAAGAGGGCCCTGCAAAGGCCCAGATGACTGTGCATAATACAGGAGTATCTGCATTTGCACTCCTGAAGGGGAAAGACATTAAATTCATTTGGACAGATTTTTATTCAGGGTATAGGCAAAAGCTTGTCTTCCCTTCCAGAAGCCCACAAGACGGGGGTGGGGGGCAAAGGGGGGGATGCCTGTGCATGCAGGAGATGGGGCTAAGAACCCCAAAGGCACACAACACTGAGGGCCTTCAGCCTGGACAGATCCAGAAAGCTTCAGGAGGGAGGGGCAGCCTTTTAAACGTGCTGGATTTCAGTCAATAGATGGCAGAAGGGGAAGAACATGCCAGGCCTGCCAGGGGATGGGAAGGGGCTTATAAAGAGGGTTATAAAGGCAGAGAGGCCAGGGGCACTCTCTGCCTTTGGCTCAGTTGGTTAAGCGACTGCCTTCAGCTCAGGTCATGATCCTGGAGTCCTGGGATCGAGTCCCACATCGAGTCCCACATCGGGCTCCCGGCTCAGCGGGGAGCCTGCTTCTCCCTCTGACCCTCTCCCTTCTCATTCTGTTTCTCACTCTCTCTCTCAAATAAATAAATAAAATCTTTAAAAAAAGAAAGAGAGAAAAGTTAAAAAAAAAATAGTAATAAAGGCAGAGAGGCCAGACAGAAAGTAGTGAGGCTTGGTTGCCCATGGGCTGCCCAGGAAGGGTGGCTAGGGGAAAGGGGTGGTGCTATGGAGTTGCTGGGGGATCATCTGGCCAGGGTTCAGGATCTGGGGGAGAAAACACTCCAGAAACTCAGTAGGAAGCTGAGGCTACTCTAGGAAGAATGACTTGAGAGAGGGTTAAGGTCAGGGGTTCCCCAGGGGCAGGTTTGGTGTGGAGATGTGGAGCCCGAGTCCATTGTAAGAACAGCCTCATTTCAGCTGTGACCTTGGACAAGGTGATCGCGGCCCTGAACTTCAGATGCCTTTCTACAGAGGTTGCTGCCGGCCCATGGACCCCACGGAAAGCCCTGAGAAGGAGAAGTCCACACTCTGGAAGCAGAGAAACTGTGCATCAACCCCCAGCCTAGAGCATCCAGCACTGCACAGCCAGAGGAGGGGGAAGGTCGTCATAACATTGACAATTCCAGGCCACGGTGGTCTTGTAGCCACCGCCTTGTCAGCAGGCCCGGGCCCAGGGGCAGTCCTACCTTCAGGAAATAGAGCGCTGAGACCTGGTTGCTGAAAAAGCCCCCACTAAAGATACCAGAGCCGGGAAGAATGTGTGAAAGTCAGACGCAGTGAAGTCAGAGAAATGGGTCTGCAGTCCCCCAAGTCAGACGCTTCAGAGCTACTCAGATCCAAGCACTCTCCAGGCTCATCTGCCCTGCTAAAGTTCTTCTGTCCAGTGCCTCGACCCAGAATGTCCCTGTGGCCTCCCAACCAATTGGTAAATGTGTTGGAAAATGCTCATCTGTGCTTAGCAAGGAGAGGGGTGAGGTTGGTCCCCGTCTTGTATCTCTAATGTATCTCTTCATTGCTGTAACATTTTCTTTCCCTTTTTTTTTAGAGGAGGGGGAGGGACAGAGGGAGAGGGAAAGAGAGCATCCTAAGCAGGCTCCACACCCAGCACAGAGCCCCATGCAGGACTCGATCTCATGACCCTGAGATCATGACCTGAGCCGAAATCAAGAGTCTGACACACAGCCAACTGAGCGATCCAGGTGCCCCTGTAACATTTTCTTTATACCCATGTATTCACACATGTCAATGATGATAATATCTAACCCTGAAGTAGAACTTCTCATGTGCCAGGCATAGTTCTAAGTGCTCTGCGTATATTCATTCATTTACTCCTCACAACAATCTGATACAGTAATCCATTTTACAGATGAGGAAACTGAGGCATAGGAAGTCAAGCATTTTGTTTAAAGAGTTTATTTATTTATTTGTTTATTTGAGAGTGTGTGTGTACTCGTATGTTCACATAAGCAGGGGGAGGAGCAGAGGGAGAGGGAGAAGGAGGGAGAAAAAATCTGAAGCTGACTCTTCGCTGAGCATGGAGCCCAATGTGGGGCTCAGTCTCACAACCCTGAGATCATGACCTGAGCTGAAACCCAGTCAGACACTCAACCGACTGAGCAACCCAGGGGCCCCCCTTTTGTCATTATTTTAAAATAGTAGATCGGGGCCCCTGGGTGGCTCAGTCGGCTGGGCGTCTGCCTTTAGCTTGGGTCATGATTTCAGGGTCCTGAGATCGAGCCCTGCATCAGGCTCTCTGCTCTGCAGGGAGCCTGCTTCTCCTGCTCTCTGTCTGCCCCTTTGCCTACTTGTGCTCTCTCTGTCAAATAAATAAATAAAATCTTTTTAAAAAATAATAGATTATCTCTGAAACAAATAATACATTATATGTTAATAAAAAAATTTTTAAAAAATAGATCATATTCAATAAATCATTTCTGCATCTTTCTTTTCTCATTCATCTCTACCTGGAATCCCCTGGCAGATCTAATTCACTGTTGTTAACAGCCACACATCAGACCACCCACCATGTCCTTCCACCTGGTCCTCCCTGCTCGCAGTCCTCTTCTAGAGCCCCCCAACGTGCTTTGTTTCTTGACTCCATTAGGGAATCTGACGGTGGAAATTCCAGGCCAGATGAGAGGAAAGGACAGTGAGAAGGCAGCAAGTGACATTTCAGGCTGGGTCTTGCCTACCCTCCTGCAGGTGGCCCGCAGCCCTCAGCCCCCAGAGGCAGGAATGCTGACTGTGTTATTGTGAAATCATTTGTATATTGTGAAGTGCTTTGCATAGGATGGAGAGATTTGCATACAGGGTTGGGGGGGGGGGGGGTGGCATCTTTGAGATCCCAGAGCAGCATCCACGACTGTCTTCCTCCCTTTGCAAAGAAACCAACCCAGGGCTTCCACTTCAGAATTCAGGGACAGGCCCAGGAGAGCGTTCTGGCCGACCTATGGGCCCGGTGTGCTGAGGCAGACAAGAGGCTTTCAGAGGAAAGTCGATCCCATCTGGAAGGAGCTGGGGGGGTCTAAGAAGGGCAGACATTCTTGTCTGGTAAATGGTTGTGTGAAGTGGAAACAGGGCACCAGGTGCAGTGTGTGAGAGCCCAGTGTGCCCTCAGAGACCCCAGCAGGCAAGAGCCACACAGGACAGTTGAAGGGAGCTACCACGGGAGACACAGGAGGGTCAGAGGCTTGGAGACCCCCATCCCGAGGCGATCTCTGCCCGAGCCCCCACATGCCCCATCCTGAATATTACACAGTCTTGCCTGATTCCCAGAGAGAAAGACTCCCACCCCCTAGAAGTGACAGGTGCTATCACATGCTCTGGGTTCAGGGACACCCAGATGCAAACCTGGCTCTGTCATCTGTGTCATGTGTGGCCCTGGGCTAACAGTACACACCTCAGTGGAATCAAAGGACTCAGCGAGACAGTGCAAATGGAGGGAAGGGCACGTAGTAGTGTCCAGTAAATAATGCTATTGCTTGCTGCCCCAGGCTGGGGTCAGGCCTAGCTTCCTCCTGGAGGGGAAGCACAAGCGACAGCTCCCCCAGGTTTGGGGTTCCGAGCAGCAGTATCAAGACACCATGCATTGGACCCCAAAGGGTTACAAGCCCTGGAGACAAAGGCCTGAGGTTCCCAGTGAAAAACCAAAGCATAAAAATAATTCGATGAGTAAGAATAAAATTCCCTCTTCTGAGGTTCCCGGGGCCAGGCCCCTCCCTGCGGCAGGCACTTCCCCTTTCCCTTGTTCATGGAGGAGCCAGGCCGCTTTGACTCAGAGCTGGAGCGCCCGAGCCAGGAACCCACCCGACCCCGGCCGGGCTCCCGGCGGCGCCTGCTGGCAACCGAGCGCGCCCCCGTGCGGCCTCGGGCGGAACTGCGGCCCGAGAGAGGAAGCGGCGGCCAGACCCGCAAGCCCAGCCACCCAGCGGCTCGCGGTCCCTGCGGGGCCGCCGCCCCCGCCCTCCCCAGCGGGGCTGAGCGCCTTGCCCCTGGGGCTCCCACTTCCGCCCGGCCCGCCCCGCCGCCCCCCCCGCCACCGCGCCGTCCGCCCGGGCGGAAGTGCGCCGGCCTCCCGGGTCCCCCACGGCCGCGAGGCGGAAGCGCGCCGCAACCGCCGCTCCCCCCCCCGGCCCCGCGGCGCGCCGCGCGTCGGGTTCCGGACAGGTCCCGTGTGACGTGGCCGCGCGCCGGGGGCGGCTCTGGGCTGGGGGGCCGGGAGGCCGAGCCGGGCGGGGCAGACCCGGGGCGGGGCGCGGCGCCGCTGCTGGATGGCCGGGGCAGCCCGCAGCGCCGCCGCCGCCGCCGCCGCTGCACGGTGAGTGACCGCCCGACCCTCGGGGGCCCTGCCGGCCCCGGGCTAGGCCCGGGCTTCTGGCCCCCCTTCTGGCCCAGAGCCGGGCAGTTCGACTTCCTTGGGCTCCTCTTCTCCCCTGTCGCCCCGCACGTCGCTGCCCATCGCTCCCTCGCTTCCCTCCTCCGCGTCCGTCTCCCACCCTCTCTGGCTCTCTCACTCCTGACTTTGTCTTGCTTTCTCCTTTCCCTCTCCTCTCTCACTCTCCGTACCCCGCTCCCCTCGCCCCAGACCGCGGTCCCCGCACCTCTGCGTCTCCCGCCTTGGCCTCCCAAGTCTGGCCTGGCCCAGTCCTGCCTTTGGTCCCCAGGGAGCCCCGGCGGGGTTCGTCAGGGTCTCCCGTAAAGGCCCGGAGCTCCTGGACGCGGGCATCTTTTCCACCCTCCCACCTCCATCAGGGGGTGAGGAAACTGAGGCAGGGACATCGCTGGCTCAAGGTCACGGCCAGATGAGGCAGGGCAGACCCCATTTAAACCTCACGCCCGAGTTTCCAGATTGAACTTCTCTGTTGGTTGACTCACATCCACGTCCTGTGATCCAGCGTCTGGGAACCTTCCTTCCGGGGGTGTCCCAGGCTGCCTGCAGTATAAGGAGGGCTTTCCCGTGCCTCCTCCATTGCCAGGCACGGCCACCGGCCTTAGTGAGCTCCTCTCATTGTCACAGCCAGTGAGGGAGGCAGTTCTTCTCTCATCCCACAGACGAGGAAACCGAGGCCCAGAGAGGGGCTTCGGGGACTTGCCCGCATTCCAAACGCTGTAGGTGCAGAGCACAGAATTCGGGGCCGGTCTCCAAAGCCTGTGCTCTGCACATCCGTGAGGCAGCTCCCGACTGAAGGATCCTTCTCTGCCGTTCCACCTCCTGTCTGTCTCCGTGCCCTGGGGACGGGGGGCTCACTGCCGAGGAAGAAGCTCTGATGGTTCTGCCCTAGCTCCGCTGCCTGCTTTCCGCACCTGCACCATCAGGTGTTGCCCATCAGGCCAGACAGTGGCCACCTCAGTCCCCGGGGTGTCCTCGCTGGAGCACGTCCTGGCCGCAGAGCCTCTCCTGGCAGCTGGAGACACCCGACTGGGCTGGGCCTGCCGGTGGCTGAAGGGAACCCAGCCAGCGCCTCACCCCGTCATTAGGGAAAGTTTAGCTCCAGGCAGACACGCTGACACACAGTCTGGAGCAGGCTCGGGAGGAAAAAATGTGTGGTCCTCGGGAGTGGGGTGTGGAATAGCAGAGCCCCTTTGCTCTGTGCACCCATCACTGGGGTCCTCAGAGGCCCAGGGCAAGGCCGGTGGGAGAGCGGATGCCATGGCCGCTTGTCTGGGGGGAGGGTTAGGATGCCACGTTTGCTAAGCAGGTGTGCGGCCAAGGGTGGCAGCTCACGTAAGAGGCTTTGTGTTTTTCAGCACGTGGCATGCCTGGATGTCCCTGTCCTGGCTGTGGCATGGCGGGCCAAAGGCTCCTCTTCTTCACCGCGCTTGTCCTAGAGCTCCTGGGAGGGGCTGGGGGTTCCCAGCCGGCCCTCCGGAGCCGGGGGCCCGCAGCTGCCTGTCGCCTGGACAACAAGGAAAGCGAATCCTGGGGGGCCCTGCTGAGCGGAGAGAGGCTGGACACCTGGATCTGCTCCCTCCTGGGCTCACTCATGGTGGGGCTCAGCGGAGTCTTCCCACTGCTCGTGATCCCCCTGGAGATGGGGACCATGCTGCGCTCAGAAGGTAGGTGACCCTCCTCTGGCGCCCGGGGCCCTGGGAGAGTGGGGTCCCACGTCTGTCTGGGGTGGAGGGCAGGGACGGAACACATAACTTCTCACCCTGTGAGACCAGGGTGCGCCAGGCTCATTTGTTCGTTCACGTGTGCATTTGTTTATTCTGAAAGAATAAAAGCCAGCAAACATTGACTGAGAAACTATATTGTGGTTGGAAACGTGGGTGCCAGGCCGCTTGGGTTCCACGCCTGGCTCTGCCACTCACCAGCTGGTGGCCTGGGGCAAGTTACTTAACTTTAGGCTCCGAGCCTAAATACTGGGGATGGTACTCGTATCTGCCTCGTAAGTGCTGCTGTGAAGAAGAGAGCAGCTCAAACGGGTGGAGCACTCAGAAGGGGGCCTGGTGCTGGGGGCGGGGGTGCAGAAAAGCCCCCCCACGCAGGGCCCCTGGGTCAGCCGGGGCGGAGGCTCCCCTTTGGCGCCGCACACGCAGCTGTGCACTGTCGACGCACGGATGACACGTCATAACTTGTAATGAAAACTACAGAAGACTGGGTGGGTAGCTGCTGAAAGTGCAGGTGCCTGCTGCCCGTCCCCGGAGTGCGCCGTCGCAGGCCTGGCCCCGGGCTCCAGGAATCTGTTCGGAATGCGTGCTCCAGGCCTTTCTGCCGCCTGCGGGGCCCGGGAACTCTTCGTCCAGCAGATGGTTATGAGCACATCTGTGGTCCACGCCGGGCTGAGGGCTGGTGCCACAGCTGCGAAGAGAGCCCTCGTGGGGCCCTGCTGCCTTGGCCTGTGCAGCATCTCGCCCCTCTTAGAGGGCCCCTGCGAGGTCAGCCTCAGGGGGACTGGGATTTTTAGCTCCATTTCACAAATGGGGAAACAAAGGCACAGAGGAGTTCTTTGACCAGGCTGAGGTCACAGAGCCTGGAAGCGGCAGCTTCCCCTGGGATCCCACCTGACAACCCCCCCACCCCACCCCCGCCGCCAAGCGGCCTCTGCCCTCTGGGCCTGTTTCTCTATCAAACCAAGCATTTGGAGACAGTCTTCGGGCACTTCCAACTCTCGATGCTGCAAGTCTGCAAAAGTCCTCAAATCTCTGCCACTTTTCTGAGAGTAACAGTGACTGAGAAGAGAGAAATTCCCACTTAAAGAGCGCTTGCTATGTGTATTGTCATTTAATTCCCACAAGGTTCCTATCAGATAACAATCATCCCCGGTTTACAGATGGGGAAACTGAGTCCCAGAAGTAACCTGCCCAGGGTCACCAGCTGGTGGGTTGGGGAGCTGGGACCCGTCGGGCTCCCACGCCCTGTCTCTTAACCATGAAGCCGTAGTGGTTCCACGGTCGTCCAGTGGGTCGTGATGGATTTCCTGCTGAGCACCCAGGCAGGGCTTGGCCTGGGGGGGGGAGGGTTGGGGGGACGATCCAGGAAGGGCAGCAGGCCAAGTCCAGCCTTCTGGAAGCTTGCAGTCTGGTTGGAAAAACGCAGCGCCCAGCAAGCTGGGTGGGGCAGCGGTCTGGCCGGGGGCTCTGATAGGCCAGCCCCCAAGCCCCGCATCTCCGCATCTCTGTCCTGTAGCTGGGGCCCGCCGCCTGAAGCAGCTGCTCAGCTTTGCCCTGGGGGGACTTTTGGGCAATGTGTTTCTCCACCTGCTGCCCGAGGCATGGGCCTACACATGCAGTGCCAGCCCTGGTGAGTGAGGCCACAGTCGGGGGGCTGGAGGGCAGAGGGAGCTGGTGCCCACGCCCAAGGTTTGCCTAGGCCTTGCCTGCTCTGCCAGAATGACTGGGAGAGGGGATCTGGGCATCTGGCAGGGAACTCGTCCTGCTTCAGCACCCTGGCCCCTGGGGCAGTCCCTGAGGCCCAGCTTCCCCACCAGCCAGTCCTGTCCCGCTTCGCCTGTCACTGCCCCTGACGAGGTCCCATTCCAAATGGTCCCCGCTTCTGTGGCCCTGGCTTGGCCTGGCCTGTCAGTGCTGCCCCCTGCAGGTGGTGAGGGGCAGAGCCTGCAGCAGCAACAGCAGCTGGGACTGTGGGTCATTGCTGGCTTCCTCACTTTTCTGGCGTTGGAGAAGATGTTGCAGGACAGCAAGGAGAAGGAGGGGACCAGCCAGGTGAGCCCCAAGCCCCGGGGCCTGGACAGGTCAGCCTCTGTGATGTGGTGCCAGGGCCTGGTGGTGCAGGTTCTGAGTTGAGCCCCGAAAAGAGGGTCTCTTGGCCATTCTCTCGGGGCTCTGGGAGGCTGGGCCAGCTGGAAAGATCCGGGGAGTGACGACGTGGGCCCCTGCTGTGGCTTGTTCTCTTAGACTGGGAGTGACAGCGGCATGGAAGGTGGTCAGTGGAGCCTGCGGGCACACAGCTGACTGAGCAGCAGAGAAGTCTAGCTAGACCAAAGGGCTGTTCCTGCCTCCGTGTCTCCATCTCTCATTCCCCTCCCATGTCTACCCTGGCCGAGTGGGGGAACATCTAATGTCCCCTCTCCCTCATTCTCCTGGCCCTAGGCCCCCAGCAAAGACCCCGCTGCCGCTGCCGCGCTCAGTGGAGGCCACTATCTGGCCCAGCCGGCTGCAGAGCCCGGCGTGAGTGCTGTGGTCCGGACCATCAAAGTGAGTGGCCCACTCAGGGCCCCCTCCTCCTGCAGCTGTCCGCCCCCCCGACCCCCCAACTGGCAGGCCCAGCCAAACCCTGCCCGCCTGGCTCAGCCTGGCTTCCTCTCCCCTCACTCAGGTCAGTGGCTATCTCAACCTGCTGGCCAACACCATAGACAACTTCACACACGGGCTGGCTGTAGCTGCCAGCTTCCTTGTGAGCAAGAAGGTGAGTGGGGGGTTGGGCCAGGTGGGCCCCAGGCCTTTCTGGAGGGAGTGATGGTGCCTGTGTTGACCATTTGGCTCTGCCTCCAAAACAGGTCTCCAGTCTGTGCACTTCCCATTCTCTCCATCACCAACACCCTCATCTGAGCCCTGAGGGCTCCTGCACGTGGCCGCCTTTTGTCCGAGCCACTGGTCTGTTCTTACTGTGAACACTCCTTGTTGGGATTGCATACCTCTGCCAGGCTGCTAGGCTTGGGCCCTGCCCGCTTCTAGATGCTTCTCACCCACTTCTTCCCTCGGCCCTCTCTGACATTAGTGGTCTGCCTACTCTTGAGCTGGCCTAGCTCTTTCCCCTCTCCTGGCCTCCACCACACACTACTCTATCTGCCTGGAATGTTCTTCCTCCCACTCTTTTAAATCCTGGCTCCTTATCCTTCAGGCCTCAGCTGACATGCACTTCCCCAAAGAGGCCTCTGCTGGCCCCTCATCTAAATGAGGCCCCCGTCATTCATGCCCATGCCACCTGGTCCATCTCTTCCCCCACAGCACCTGTCATTGTGTAATCTTGTGGTTCTTTGTGTGTTCATTCAGTCCTCGCCTCCCTCTCCAGACTGTTAGCTCTGTGAAGACAGGTTCCTTGTCTGCTGTATTTCTAGTAGCCACATGGCGTCCAGCCAGAGCACCCAGCAGAGTAAATATTTGTAAACTGAGTGGACAAGTGGGTGCCTGGCCCTTGGCCCAGAACCCCACAGACTCCCTTCCCTGCAGATTGGGCTCCTGACCACCATGGCCATCCTTCTGCATGAGATCCCCCACGAGGTGTGTGCCAGAGGGTTTCCATGGCAGCAGTGTGGGTGTGGGACTTCGGAGAGGGATTTGGGGTGGGAAGCCCAGAAGCAGCAGGCTTGGGGACGAGACTTTGGAGGCCTGGAGCTGCTCGGCCCACCAGGCTGCGGCCGCCATCTCAGCTGTGCTCCAGCCTCCGGGTGGGGGTGGGGGTGGTGGTGAATGGGGTCCCAGCCTCGGCGGTGCGGCCTGGGGGGCCCAGCAGCAGGGCCGGTGCAGGGGCCTCGGTGTGCCGGTCCGTAGCCGTCCCCCAGGGACCAGAGTGATCATCTGGACCTCTCCTCAGGTGGGCGACTTTGCCATCCTGCTCCGGGCCGGCTTTGACCGATGGAGCGCAGCCAAGCTGCAGCTCTCGACGGCGCTGGGGGGCCTGCTGGGCGCCTGCTTCGCCATCTGTACGCAGTCCCCCAAGGGAGTAGGTACGGGCGTGGTGGGTGGTGGTGGTCCGCGGAGGGGCCCCAGCCAGAGGGCACAGCTGCCCCGGCCCCTGTCCCGGCCAGGATCTGCCCCAAGTGTCCCCTGTGGGAGCGGGTGCTGCACATGGCTCGCCTGGGCCCCCAGCTGGTCGGGACTTCTGCTCCCACTGCAGAGGAGACTGTGGCCTGGATCCTGCCCTTCACCTCTGGCGGCTTCCTCTACATCGCCCTGGTGAACGTGCTGCCCGACCTCCTGGAGGAAGATGACCCGTGGTGAGTGCCCGTCACCATCGCGCCCGGGGGGTGGGCTTCTGGGCTCTGGCCCGCCCTCAGCGCCTCCCTGAGCCCGGCCCCTCTCCCCACAGGCGCTCCCTGCAGCAAGTCCTGCTGCTCTGCACAGGCATCGTGGTGATGGTGCTCTTCTCGCTCTTCGCGGGGTGACCGCCCCTGACGGCCCCCCCCCACCGCCCCCAGCAATAAGAGACTTGGATTCAGTCTGTGACCGTGTGTGAGGCACAGGGCGAGTGCCTGAGAGCACCCCTCTGACCAGATTAGAGGACGGGTGTGTGTGTGTGTGTGTGTGTGTGTGTGCACAGAGGTACGCGTGAGACCGACACTGTGATCGTGCGCTGGGCCCAGGGCCCGATGCCCGCACCCAGCCACGCTGTGGTCTTGTCTCCTTACCCCCGCCATCCGGCACTTCCCGCGGCGAGCACTGAGGAATAGCAGCCCTGCTCCCAAGCGGAGGCCTCTCCCACCAAGCCCACAGGGGGAGTGAGAAGAGCCCCAGGAGCCCAGGGCTTCGGGGAGCCCAAAGCTGTCTCCCTCTGGGGCCTTGGGGTTCCTGGCCTTCTGCTCAGGCACCGAGCCCCGGGCAGCCTGAGCGCTGAGGCTGGGGAGCTTTCTCTGCTGTGTCCGTTGTCCTGGCCTTTCCTTTGTCAGTTCTAAGGCCAAAGAAAGGAGAGGCAGGTGCTCGCGTTGCCCCTCGCCGCCGCACTCAGCACTGACAGTCCCACCCAGCCCGGGATGGAGCCGGGGGTGCTTCCCAAGACCTTCTCCTCGTGGCTGCCAGCCCTGGGCCAGCTCCTGTGCCCCCAGGAAATGCTCCCTGGCAGCGCCTGCAGCTTTTGCCACCTCCCGCTGCCAAGCAGCAGCCTGCAGGGCGGGGAGCGGCCCTGGGCCAGAGAGGCCTGCTGGTCCAGCTCAGGGACGCTCACGCGGGTCCAGGCGGAGATACCCTGGAGGCAGGAACAGTGGGCTGTGGCCGCCCCTCCCTGCCCAGGCCCTTTTTCCTGTCCCACCGTGGCCGTGGCCGAGGGTAGGTTGGGGGGTGGTGAGGGCTCCGCCTTGTCGGCATGCAGGAATGTGCTCTGGGAGAACGCTGAAGCCCTAATCCCCGGCTATTTCCCTTGGCTGACACCCAGGCACTGAGCTGGCCCGCTCCACAGCCAGGCTCAGCCCTGCTGCTCGACCACAGACGTTCTGAGAAGCGGCCGTCAAGAGGGTCTGAATGGGTTTACAGCAGTTGGGCTGTGGTTCCGTTTTTTTCTGTAAATAACTATAGATAAGATATGAATAAATATTATATACAAACTGGCTGCCTCTCTCCTGTACACCAGTCCATGGTCAAGCCGGGCTTTCCTGGACGCCCCTTGCTCCAGCCAGGCTGGTGGCTTTGTGCCCCCCCTGCCCCAGGTCAGCGGGCCACCCTGCCCACCTTGGCATCCCCAGCCCCGCTCCAGCTCTTCTGCTTCGTGCCCCTCTCTGAACGGTTACCCTCGCAGCGTTTCTCAGGACAGGGCACAGCCGTTCACGCTCTGCCCGGCCTGTTGGCTCTGGAGCCCAAAGCCGCAAGCCTGGCACCGCGCCACTGTAGCCGACAGCAACCCCAGGGTGGCTGTCCTCGTTTTATGGACCTAAGAGCCAGGGGCTTCTCCCCAGCCTGTCCCCTGAGTAAACGGAGGAAGGGAGCTCCATCCACAGTCATCTCCAGCTTTGCTTCAGTAAGATTAGAAAGATCATGAGGTCCTTCACAGATTCTCACTTCCTCTGAGTGTAAAGGCGGCCTCAGGCGCCGGGGGGTGCTGCTTCCTCACAGCGCACGCCCAGGAAGGCAGGAAGGGGAGAGCGGAGTCCCACTGTGCTCCCCGAGCCCTGTGGGTCGGCTTTCAGGAGCCCCTGGCTGAGAACTGCCCCGTCTGTCCGTCCTGGAGGCCGCTCCGGGCTGAAGCCCCAGGCAGCGGCATCCTCAGCGGGGAGTGCCTGGCTCTGACCTGGTGGCTTGTCCGCAGAAAGGGAGCCGCCCCAGCCGGCTGTGACAGTCCAGGGCCGGGGGAAGGAAGGAATCCGGGACTGTCCCGCCCCCACCCCCTCCTTAGCGGCACTGGGGCTCCCACCCACGTTGAGCCCTTCCAGGTGACAGGTACACGTGCAATCACAAGACTCAGCCTGCCCAGGGGAGGCAGTGAGGCCCCCGTTCACGAATGAGGAAGTTGGGGGAGCGCGGGTTCACTGCTGTGCCACGGTCAGGAGGTGAATGCCCTGACTGGTCAGGAGAGGGACCAGAGAATGCAGAAGCAATGGCGAGCAGAGTCTGTCCCTGGCCGAGTCTGTCCCCAAATAGGGGACAGTAACCACAAGCCCTCGGAGGCTTTACTGGGAGCGCCTTGGGCAAGGGGTGGAAGTCAGTGGGATTGCCAAGGGGATCACCCCTGCGAGCACTGGCACACTCTAGAAGGCGGCCTGGAGGCGACGGGAGTCCAGCGTCGGGAAGCTAGCCAGGAGCCGAGCCCTCCAGATGAGCTGGCTCTGTCGGTAGCTCACTGTGGGCCCGTCCAATCAGGGAGAGGGCGGAAAAGGAGTGTGGAGGGGCTTTTGCTAGGGGGCAGGTAAGAGCTGACAGGATTCCGGAGATGCTCTTACTCTGGAAGGCATTCCGGGGCCCCCGAAAGCTGCTGCTAAGAGCACAGGGGAAAGCAGACGTGCTTTACTGTCCTGGGTTTAAATCCCAGCTATGCCACCTAAGAGCAATCCTGGCCCAGCTGCTCACACGCATCTAGGAAATGGGACTACCCCACTGGGGGCTACTGGAAGAACTAGATCCAGTTATGCACAAGATCCGCTGGGCACAGGGCCCACAACAGGCCCTCAGTGAACCACACGAGGCCAGCTACAATGCAGGGGAGCTGGAAGGTTGGACGGACAGAGGACCAACGAGATCTTCGAGGAAACGGGATAGGACGTGGGACCTGATGGGGAGCGGGGCTGACGGCGGAACTGGGGGGTGGGGGAGAACACACTGTGACCAAAGGTTAGGCCTAGAAGGGCTCTCAGTGCTCTTGCTCAAGGTTCATTTCTCAGCAGGAGGAAATGAGCCAAGAGAGCTAATGGGGACACGTGGAGAAACAGGAGGCTCAGGGGCCAGGAAACGGGAAGAATTTCAAGGAGCAGAGACACAGAGTCTGGCTTTACAGGGAAGCAAGGATGAGGGACCAAAATGCCAAAGGGGAAAGGCTGGCTTCTATTCAGGGCCTTGGTTCTGGAGCTGCAGGGCCCTGACTCTAAAGTGGAGGGGTGGGGCAGGGAGCAGGAAAGGGGGTGGGAGGGGCACGGTGGGGGGTGGGGGGGCGGAAGACCCCAGGCAGCAGCCGTAGCACGCACCCATCCTTCCCGGAGGGCCTCGCCTGACGACTGCTTTGAGGCCCACAGTGGTTTCAGGGGTTCCAGGCAGCAGCACGTGGGGAGGGAGCCTCCTGCAGAGGCCCCACTCTTCCTTCCAGCCAAGCCCCGGGAAAGGTGCAACAGACAGGTGGCAGGGACCTGCAACCATCTTTTATTATGGATTTTAACCAGCACCAGACCAGGGAGCAGGTGTGGCGGGCAACCTCCTAGGCGTAGTACTGCAGGTTGGCTTTCTTCTTGGCCTGCACTTCCAGGATGCCCTCCATGTAGTCCTCGTGCGTGAGTTCCGTGGCACCCCTGCGCAGTGCAATCATGCCCTGCACCCAGGACAGACAGGCTCTAGGGTGCCTTCCCGCACCCCTGGCCCGGCTCCTAGAGGCCTCGGCCTTCTAAGCCTCTCCCCCGCCCAGCAGTCTCCACCAGCCAAATGCCCCATCCTGTTTAGGGAAGGGGGGCAAGAAGGCATGAAGTAACCCACTCCCCCACGCCACCACTCACCGCCTCCACACACACGGCCTTGCACTGGGCCCCGTTGAAGTCATCCGTACAGCGGGCCAGCTCCTCGTAGTTCACATCGGGACTGGGGGGCCGGGGGGAGAGGGGGACAGACACCACAGGACTCAGTTACTTATGGTTATGGGGAGGGGCAGGAAAGGATATCCTCCCATACTCCCCATCAGGCAGCGAGGTCCACTCGTCCTGTGACGTCGGCAAATCCCTCCCTTCCCCGCTGTGCCTGTTCTCTTCTCAGTATGAGTTACAGAACAGAGGGCAGGTAAGTCAAAGCAGAGAACAGGTTATTTCTGTGTCTTTTGAGCTCTAGCCTTCTAGAAATCTGCACCTGTGATTCCAGGGACTGATTCAGCCTGGGGCAGGGGAGCAAGAGGATAGCTGTCTCCCTGAGGAAGTCCTGCATCAGCACAGTGCTGCCTTGGTCTCTTGTGCCGAGCCCTTCCCCAGACGCGCCACAACCCCATGAGGTCAGTGCCATTACCCCCAAGCACCAGACAAGGAAACTCAGGCTTCAATGGGTAATACCACCTGCTGGAGATCACACAGATCTGAATCCAAGTCCACTTGGCCCCTGGCTGGATTCCCCAGAGCCATGCTGGGGGAGTCAAGGAAACTGAGGGCCTCCAGCCTGTGCACCTTCAGACCACGGGGGAGGAAGAGGCAGGGTGATTCTAAGGAGCAGAGCACCCAGAATCAGGGCCTAGACCCAAGCAAGATTCTATCTCAGGCTTGTGGGGAGAAACGGAGGCTGGCATGTGGAAGAGTTCTGTGTGAACAGGGAGGGGAGGAGGAGTGGGCGGAGACCTGGGGACACTCAGTACGAGAAAGACAACAGAGACGGCTCTGCTGCTGCCCCTTCAGATCTCAGCGCCTTGCTCATGTCCTTGCTCACCTGACGTTCATCTTGCGGGAGTGGATCTGCATGATTCTGGCCCGGGCCTCCTCGTTGGGCATGGGGAATTCAATCTTCCGGTCCAGACGGCCTGAGCGGAGCAGTGCGGGGTCCAGGATGTCCACCCTGTTGGTGGCTGCAATCACCTGAGCAAGGGGAGAAGCAGCAACGTGAACTGAGGAAGATGGGGCTCCCAGACAGACAACAGTCAAGGCCATGCCAAGCAGAGAGGCAGAGAGGCAGCCCAGGGTCCACATCAAACAACGGTGTTAAAGACAATCTCAATTCTAATTCTAGCTGCACTAGCTGGGTGACCGAGAAGGTGCCCTGCCCTCTAAGCTCCATTTTCTTCATCTGTGATGACAATACTCACCTTTACTTGGGTGTTGGGCTGGAACCCATCCAGTTGGTTCAGAAGCTCCAACATTGTCCTCTGCACCTCCCGGTCTCCGGCCTTCTCACTGTCAAAGCTGGGGCACACAAGAGGCCCGACACACTGATGAGGCCACAACTTGGGCAGAGCCTTCCCCTCCTCCAGCCACCAGAAATCTAACCCAACTATCCAGGGCAGGGAAAGGTCACGCTCAACTTGCGGCCCCCAGCCCAGGACTGACACAGAACAGGTGTCAGAGACTGGAGAGGCTCCTGGTATCAGCCAGGCTGAGGATAAAACAGTGAGCAAAACCAACCACTGCCTGGGCTATCCCCCAATGAATGTGCCACTGCAAACTGAGCTAAAGCTTAGAAATATGGGATCCAGACTTGGGAGTGTAAAGGGGAGCCCAAACAGGCATCCCTGAGGAAGTATCTCTCACGGTGAGAACACACAGGCTAGGCAACCAACCACTAAAAAACAGGAAAAGTATATTCTAGAAAAGGAACAGGTGCAAACTCTCTCCCACCAGGGCCAGATGGACTTCGATCATAGAGCGGACCTATAAACCAAAGGGATGTTGGGGCATCTGGGTAGCACAGTCGGTTAAGCGTTCTACTCTTGGTTTCAGCTCAGGTCATAATCTCAGGGTCGTGAGGTCAAGTCCCGCCTCCTGCTCTGCACTCAGGGGTGGAGTCTGCTTGGGATTCTTTCCCTCTTCCTCTCCTTCCCCCTCTGCCCCTCCCCCACCTCAAGTGCATGTGCTCAATTGCTCTCTCAAATAAATGGCCTTAATAAATAAATAAAAATCTTAAAAAAATTAACTAAATGGATGCTGGGAAGAGGTGGGGGCGGGGCCAGGTCCAGGATGAAGTGGAGGGGAACAGGGAAAGCCACACAGCAGACCAGGCAGGCCATGGTTAAGTCCAGCATTTATCCCAAGGAGCAATGGGGGCCCACAAAGGGTTTCAAGTAGGATGTCTGTGTGAGGGAGTGTGGGTGTATGTGAGGGAAGCAAGCAGGTATGAAAGGAACATGCAGGTAGCCATGAGGAGAATGGTCAGGGGAAAAAAGCAGCAAGGAAGCTAGTTCGAACAGAATTCAGGACGTAGAACCACAAGAGTAGAGTTGCCA